TGTTAAGGGGAGTGGGCAAGACTACCTTGCTGACAACAGGGTGGGCAAGACTGCCATTCACCTGGATGGACATCTCTACCATGTGGATCCCAACATAGTGGCCAATGTCTTTCTGTAGCAAGGGTTCTGTTAGTGCTTAGAGCAGCAGCCTCATCTCCTCTCACTGAGCCTGAGCATCTCAATCCAGGGTCTCCAATGATCTTTCAGACCATTGTTCCAGAGCAGTGAAAGAATTTTGTTTTTGTTCTGGAAACACACACACACACACACACACACACACACACACAAAACAAAATACAGGAAGTAGAAAGGATCCTAGGCCGATGCCACTCTCTCTGGCCTCTGGAGTCTGTGTAGGCTCTTGTCCTGATGTCTATGGGATTCTCTTCTTCTTGGTGTGTCTTGTCTTTCTTTTCTCATCTGATCCCCTTCCCTGTACTCAGCCATCTAGTGTCCGCCACTGTTTCCACTGCACATTTTTTCCTGTTCTCCCACCACTCCTACCTCCCTATCTCAGTGGGGAAAAACCTAACTGGCTCTTAGTTAGCCTTTACTGTTTTCTGTCTTCAGTTCCAACTCATTCCGTGTAGCTGCTTGTATTCTAAGGATAATTGGGTCCCCCCCCCAAACTTTTTTCAAGAGAGCACATCTGCAGTAGCTTCTGGAAACCTGCCCCAGGTTAATTCTGATTGGTAAATAAAGATGCCAGCAACCCATAGCTGGGGAGGAGAGACAGAGGCGGGATTTGGGATTGTTGGGCTTGGGACCTGGAGAAGTGAGAGGAAGGAAGAACTAAGAAACCACTATGGAAGGTAATAATATGCAGGAGGGAGAACCAGAGCCGCCATGTGAAAGGGTCAAGGGAATGTGGGTCAAGAGCGGCCAAGATGAACATAGAAATTAGTAAGTGGTAACTTGGAGTTATCAGTTGGAGGTAGATTCTAACAGCATGTAGGAAGGCAGTCGCCCAGATCTTGTGCTGCTTAAGGCATATTAAAATATAAGGGCTGTGTGTGTGTGTGTGTCTTACATTCTGGAACATAAACCATTGAGGCGGGTAGTAACCCGATGCTGGGATTTTTAAAAATTCAATTCTACAATTCCCCCATATATTCAGTTCTCCTAACGGAAACTTCCCTGCACAGCTGTCTGATAGGCACATGCTTCTTCCTTACGAGAAACAAGAGTGTTAATGTGGAACACAGTGAGGATGACGCTATAATGTCTTAAGCCTGTTTTCATGGACAGTGTATTAAGCTGGATTCTCTTCCTCTTTCATTAATGTCTCATTGTTTTCTGTTTGCAAGCTCCATACTAATGCAGATAATCAGGACTCAGTTGCTCTTTGTCCAAGAGGAATATTGTTTTTTTCTGGGCTCTAGAAATTATAGGTTCCTCTTTGGTTGTATTCTAAAGCTATGATCTGTGAGCTGAAGACAATGGGAAAATAGAATCGGTAACTCCCCACAGTGAAAACTGTAGCTAATCTCTTAGTGCAGTGGGTTTCAACTTTCCTAATGCTGTGACCCTTTAATACAGTTTCTCATATAATTATTAAAATCATACTTATTTATTTTATTCATTATTAAAACTCATAAAATTATTCCATTGCTACTTCGTAACTGTAATTTTGCTACTGTTATGAATTGTAATATAAATATCTGAAATGAAGGATATCTGATATTTGACCCCTGTGAAATGGTCTTTCAATCATCAAAGGGGTCACAACCAACAGGATGAGAACTGCTGTCTTAGTCAATAGGTAGCATTAGTTGCCTGCCCTATGAAGACAGCCCATTCAGGCCTTTAGTTAACTCTTCCTGTCCAAACACACTTATGACTGACATGTCATAAAATACCCAGGACACAAATCACTTAGCTGATCCTTGTCATTTTCCCAAATGACAAAACCAAATGCTTATTCTAGCTACTTAATTTTGAGATGGATGATTATGTACCAACAGATAAGGACACGGAATTTATTTATTCATTTATTTATTTATTTTTGTATTTGTGAGTTCAAAATGCAACTCTTAGTGTCTTTGCTCTTCAGATATTCAGTGAATGAAGCTTTAACTGGGAGAAACAGGAGGTCCATGCTACAAGGTGTTTAGGTATATATACTATGTGGAGCCTTTGGATGACACTAAATAGTATCCTACTCTTATGGATGACATGTTAGAGGAATGTGAATTAGTTTTGCTTCTCTTAGAAAGAAGGAATTTTGGTTATTGAAAGAGAAAAAGGATAAAGGTCTTATATAAAAAGTGCAACACTCATAATTAGAGTGATACCAAACAAACAGTTTGTAACAATTCAGAAGTGTAGATGTCTCAATCTGGATGCTGTGCATATTTACTCTTGTTAAATAAATGTCCTGGGAAGTAGACACAGGCACCCTGGGAAGATGAGGAGTAGGAAGCTCGGCAGTTCTACTTATGAGTGAGCTGGATCTATTTGTTCTCATGTGCAGGCACTGGAAGATACTGTTATAGCAAACATGCCCTCTAGATTTGAGGAAGCGGTGGCTTATTAGACTTTGCCCACGTTTGCACGAGGACATAAATAAATGACAGCTTTACTGCTGCCTTTAAGTCTCTTCACTACTCTCTACCCATTGGCTTTATGTTGCCTTTGTGAACAGCTTCAGTATTCCTCAATTTGCGTGATGAACTGTGACTGTCCCACTGTCCTTCGGTATTCATAGGTCGTTTTCAATTACTTAGAGATGCCTTAGCATCTCAACACTAATGACACCCTCCAACAAAGATCTCACTCTTTGATTCAGTCTTGACAGTTCAGTCAGGGCTTGGAGGAGGAGCTATGTGCTACAACCCATGATTGGCAAGAATTGACATGGGGCGAGGTGGGATACAAGCAGTTCTTTTCTAAAAAATTATTTTATTTATTTACATCCCAAGTATTTTCCACCTTCTAATCACCCCTCCCAGAGCTCTTCAACCCATCCCCCTTCCCCTTAGGCTATGACAGGTGCTCCCCTACCCTGGGTATCTTCCTTCCCTGGAGCATCAAGTCTCTAGAGGATTAGGAACTCCCCTCTCCAACTGAGGCCAGACAAAGCAGTCCTTTGCTACATATGAGCCGGAGGCCTCAGACCAGCCTGTGTATGTACAGAGCAGTTCTAAGAGAAGCTAGTTCACATAGATATGGTCGGTGCTCAAGAGTTGTCTACTTGGTAAAGTGTCTCCTACATACTAAGTACTTAGTAACTGAAAGCTATTTGAAAAAGTAATGAGTGCTATTTCATTCTCTCCTTGGACTCAGAAGCAAAATGTCTCTTTTCTAGAAGTGCCTCAGACGTTCACTTGGACAGACATGGAAGAATTCCCTCTCTTAACACCTCAGACTGACTGGCCATAGGATGTCATTGCAACCTGCGGTATTTACTGAGAACGTCATCATGATGACTGGCGTACTCTCTAGAATACTTGGTCTAATCCAATCATGAGCATCTCTGTGGAGAGAAGTTACATTGTTTGCTCAGTTTTTTTACTTCCTGAAAACCCCCCTGCAAAGAAAAGTCTATCTTGCCATCTCCTTTTCCTCTCTGTAACTCCCTGAGGAGGAGCAAAATTCAGTCACGATCCTACTCTTCCTCTTCTCTGGAGTTGAATGTTCCTATGGAGTAGGTCAGTTCCTTGTTTTACAGCTTTGGGTTTGGTCAAGAGACTTAGACAAGTGTCTCTTGACTTGCTATAGCTCTACTGTGGAACGCTTAGGAGCTGCCAATGTTTTGGAAGGAAAAGAATAGAGAAAGATGGAAAGGAAGACAGGTTGAGGTGTATGGAGTTCCAGCCCCTTGTCTGAGTTTAAAAGATGTAATTATGGGTCTAAAGATTTCAAATCTCAGTAACCTATGACATTGTTTTGTCTATTCCCATTTTGCTGATGAAGAAACTGGCACATATTTTAAGCCCCTCAGGCAATTCTAATAAGTAGCAACCGGGATGAATAATTTCATTAGTTTGAAACACTTCTTATTTTATTATTATTATTATTTTAATTCTAAATTTTAGAATAGTGATTTTTTTTCATGAGACATCTTTTTCTCTACATTTGATTCACTGGGATTTTCATGTGTAGAGATATGAAATTTGCAGCTGGATTTCTACTTTTCCCTGGAAGACCAACTTGCTCCTAAAGGCACCCTTCTCCTCCCGCAGCCTCTTTTGATCCGTCACTCTCCGTCCAGATAGCTCAAGATACCAATCACGCCCCAGATCTATCACCTGGCCAAGCCTGTCTCTCATAGCCCACAAACCTCACAGTTTATCTTGAGCTATGTACATGGAATTTGATATCTAGATTTGTATATTATTTCAACTTCTTTAAAGTGAACATAGATTATATCTTGAAAAAAATGTTTTCCAAGGAAAAATACAGTATAAAAAAGGAACCCTTAGCATAACTGTATTTTTGTTGTTGAAATTGTTGTTAAAATTGCCATGAATCATTGAATTTGCTATTGGCTTCAGAGAACACCACAATTAAACTATCAAGATTAATTTGGAAAGCAAAAAATACCAGCAATTCCACCCTCCTGTTCACACTGTTTCTCCAGTCTAGGCTTGTCTTTGTGGGAGGGAAGAGAGGAATCCACACATAAAAGGAGAAATGGTCAGAACTCTTGATCTGAGCCATCTGTCACAGGAAGAGAGGCTGATCCATCTTGCTCTTGAATTCTGTCCATTTCTTGGCATGCACAGACCTGTCTTCCTCTTCTTTTTATCAGTTATTTAATTAGGTTTTGGAAAGGAGTTAGGAAATCAGTCTGTGGGGATATGCTTAGTTGACAAGGAGGAAAAGAGTGCAGTCTTGGGGCAGAGGAGCAATTTGGTTTAGAGGCCAAATTCCAAGTCAAAGCTTTCTTAGCCTTGTGTTTATGCCCTGTAAACTCATTCTCTGAGACTCTCACTGTGTGTCTGTCTGTCCGTGTCTTTGTCTCTGTCTCTGTCTCTCCCTGTCAGGAGTATTTCAACATGACTAGGAAGCTCGTGCTTCATTACTTCAATGGAAGAGGAAGAATGGAGTCCATCCGGTGGCTCCTGGCAGCAGCTGGCGTCGAGGTGAGATGCCCGATAGAGTGGGTAGTTTGTTATGTTATTTCCAGGTCATTCATTGAGCACTTACTTGGTTAAATATCATAGAAAACTTTAAATTCTTTCAAAAGCAAATGTAGCATTTGACAAATAGTCTTTAAATGTTGGGTTGCCGGTGAGTTAGTTTTTTGAAACAGATGCTAAGATCCTGTGGGGACCAGCTATGGATATTAAGCTCATTCAAAGATACTATAGATCATGTGCTACAATAATTAATAAGAAAAAGAAAGGTAAGGAGGAAGGAAAGAAGAAAGGATAAGAAGGAGGAATCATTTTGTCTCATAGCTTCAGCTAATTCTTATCACCCTAGAGAGACTATCATCTAATTACATTTGCCTCTAGAGCATTAAGAGACAAATATTTATTTTATATATTGATTATTGTTTGTGCGTAGGGGGGCAGGTGACACATATATCTGGAGGTCAGATGACAACTGGGAGTTGTTTCCTTCTTCTGTTGTGGATCCTTTGAAAGCAAGCACTTTGCTAGCAAGTACCTTTCCCCACTGAGCCACCTTGCTGGTCTCCTGGTAATTTATCTAAAAGTGTAAAACATCTAATAGGAGCCAGGTATGGCAGTATATACCTGTAAACTCAGCAATTAGGATGAGGGGCAAGGGGATCAAGAGTTTAGTTTTCTCTCTCTTACATTGCATGTTCAAAGCCAATCTATCTTACATAAGAACTTGTCTCAAAAAGCAAACAAACAGACAAATAAACAAAACACCCATGCAAACCGAACAGGCTGACGTAAAAACATATCATTTGCTACTAAAATTGTTACTGTCAAATAATTTAATGAAATTTAAAATTGCTAAAATTTTGTTTGCACATATTTTGTTTAGACCACCATTGTGAAAGGGTCATTTGACCCCTCAAAGGGGTTGTGACCCACAGATTGTAAAACACTGCTCTAGAGTATAGAAAGATGAACTCATTTGAAAGGGGGATAGCTGAAAAGAAGTTACCACATTGGTTCTCTTCTGAGAAACAGCAGCCCATGAGAGAAACACTTGAAACATATAATGTAAAAATAATTCCAGACAGAATGATTGAGAAGATTAAATAGTAGCCGAGGTGGAGGAGTCTAACTGATCACAGAACACATCCAAAGGCCTTTTGGTGAAAAGGTAAAATCCAGGACACCCATGTCAATGTGAAGTTCAAAGAAAATATCTCTTTTTAGCATAAGCACATTCTCTCAATATATGTGACATATTATACTCACTATCTGAAACTCAGATTGCTGTGGGGTTCATTTAAATTCATCATAATTCAAATGTAGGGTCAATGCAGTTGACAAAATTGTGGATGTTTCAGTCCTTCTTAGAAGGGGGAACAAAATACTCATAGGAGGAAATATGGAGACAAAGTGTGGAGCACAGACTAAAGAAGAAGTGTAGCAGAGACTGAAGGGAAGGCCATCCAGAGACTGCCCCACCTGGGGATTCATCCTATATACAGATAGCAAACCCAGACACTATTGCAGACACCAAGAAGTACTTGCTGACAGGAGTCTGATATAGCTGTCTCCTGAGAGGCTCTGCCAGAGCCTGACAAATACAGATGCGGATGCTCGCAGTCAACCATTGGACTGAGCATGGAGTCCCTAATGGAGGAGTTAGAGAAAGACTGAAGGAGTTTAAGGGGTTCTCAACCCCACAGGAAGAACAATAATATCAACCAACCAGAACCCTCCCCCAGAGTTCCCAGGGACTAAACCACCAACCAAGGAGTACACATGGAGGGACCCATAATTCCAGCCACATATGTAGTACAGATGGCCTTGTTGGTCATCCATGGGAGGGGAGGTCCTTGGTCCTGTGAAGGCTCCATGCCCCAGTGTAGGGGAATTCAAGGGCGGGGAGGTGGGAGTGGGGGGGTAGGTCGAGGACCCCCCTAAAAAACCCGGGGGGGGGGGGGGGGGGGATAGAGGGTTTCCAGGGTGGGGGACTGGAGAAGGGGATAACATTTGAAGTGTAAACAAAGAAAATATCTTTTTTTTAAAAAAAGTAGTATAATTACAGATTCCCAGAACCTGTAATCTGATTGTTGGATTTCAGAGTTCAAGTGACACTTATCTTCAGGAATCAGAAATAAAGGCGACCTCACACTTCAGTTTAACAGTCCAGGTACTCAGAAATGCTGAGCAAAGAGCCATGTCCTGGTATCCATAAACTCCTGGCCTAACAGGAGATTAGGTTTTTTAATCCTATTCAGCTTCCCCAAGCCATCAACAGCAATAACAATGAACTTGCTAAAAGCAACATATCCTTATTTCTTTGTCTCTTTCTTTAGTTTGAGGAGGAACTTTTTGAAACCCGTGAAGAATTTGAGAAGTTAATCCAAGGTAAGAGGAAAACCCTGTCCACACTCAGTGTGGCCTGAGACCAACTTGAGATGGTCGTTTGTTACTGTGGAAGCCCCCTTCTGCTCCTCTCTCTCGTGTTCCAAGAGAGCAGTGGAAGTCATGTGGACAGTAACTACCAGGATCTTAGTTCTGTGTAAGGAAGGCAGCACCAAAATCTTGCAAATAGGAGGAGCCCACCCCCAACGAGACAGAATTCTTTCTAATTAAATGACCATAGCCATCCTGTATTCCCCCTAATTTGAGGTGATACTTTTCTGCAGCTGCTTCATGGCACTTCATGTATATATGTACTACCCTGTGTGTGGTATGTGGGGTGTGTGTGTGTGTGTGTGTGTGTGTGTGTGTATTTTGGAGAGAGGCAGAGAGTTTCATAATCTAGGCTACAGGAATTCATTGTATAGCTAAATATGGCCATTAACCCCCATTCTTCCTACCTTCATCTAGATGTTGGGATTATCCCTCTAGGTCACCACACACAGCTAACGCCTTTATATTGAATTCTCTCTGCTAAATTAAGTTATGTGGTTTGGCCTCCCTGTTAGATACTGAACGAAGATAGGATACTAGCCCAACTCAGCCAACTTGAAAGATTATATATGGAAAAGTATAGGGTAAGCCTCACTGTTGCTTTAGTGAGAAACTAGGGAGAGGGAGCGCAGGAGACAGAAACAAAGACAGATAGAAACAGAGCCAGAATTCTTTCTAATTAAAGGACCATAGCCATGCTCCATTCCTTATCTCCCTGTGATTTCTTAGCTGGTTTGCTTTGCTACAGAGCATCTTGGGAAAGTTGAAGAAATAAACCCAAAGTAAAGAACTGTCACCCAGAGGAGAGCTTGCCTGTAGTGGTATATACAGAACAAATTTCAAGATAGACTTTAAATTCAGAGTGAGAGTCATGAGTTATGTGTCCTCTGGCAAGCACTGGTGAGTGATAGAAATATGTAAGAAGTGGTGCAGGACTTCAGGAAGCAACCAGAAGGATGAGAGATAGGTAAGAATCCCAACAGGACTCAAGGAATACAGTGCAGAGTGCTATCACAGTTCAAAGGGTAAACTGGGTCTGAATGAATGGCATAGCCATAGGGAAAGACACTAAGGAAGTAGAAGGGTAAAGACTGGTCTGAAGGAATGCTTTGTATCCAGATGTATCCACATGTATCCAAAATGTCCAAAAATATCCAAAAGAATGGATTCAAAATTCCAAATATCACATTGTATACTGTATATAGTTTGTGGATAAATGTATACAGATTTCTCCTATTCCTTTTTAAAATTGATAAATGAGCCATGTGCTCCTGTTTTATAGAGACTTTAGGTTGAAAGGAACTATAGTTAGTTCTCTGAAGGCCCGATATGTAACCTAGCTTACTTTTTTGTATTTCAAGGTGGAACCCTGATGTATGAGCAAGTGCCCATTGTGGAAATCGATGGAATGAATTTGGTGCAGACCAGAGCCATCTTGAGATATGTAGCTGCCAAGTATGGCTTGTACGGAAGGAACCCAGAAGAACAAGCCTGGTAAAGACACTTTGTTATTTAGAGCAAGAGACAAAGCCAAACAAACACTGGCCACAACCAAAACACCAACACTTAGCAACATTAGAAGCCACATTCCTAGTATAGTTCTTGATAGGTTGATACAAAGCCTACTTTCTCTCTCCACTGGAAGAATCTGTTATAACAAGTGCTAAAGAGAAAAACCTATCATTGCAGACCCCATTCCACAACATTTACGTTCAGCAATAGTTCATTTGGGAGATTACCATAGTTTTAATTGATTTTTCTAGTTGCATTTTTGGCTTTCATTAGAAGAAGGAGTTAGCTATTTTCTCATGATGCCATGTTTGCCTCTACCGGGTGGGAATGGTAGTCAATAAGTCACTAGAACTCTGACTCATACATTTATTTCCGGGGAGGGGCTCACCTTACCTTGTAAACACAAGACTGAAAGTGATTATAGGAAAGTGCACATCAGGTCTGTCTTAGTTAGGGTTTTACTACTGTGAGCAGACACCAGGACCAGGGGAACTCTTATAAGGATAACATTTAATTGGGGCTGGCTTATAGGTTCAGAGGATCAGTCCATTATCCTGATGAGAGCATGGCAGCATCCAGGGAGGCATGGTCTTTATCTGAAGACTGTTAGGAGAAATCTGACTACTAGGCAGCTAGGATAAGGGTTTTAAAGGCCATGCCCACCTTGCCACACCTACTGTATCCAAGGCCAGATCTTCCAAATAGTGCCAGTCTCTGGGCCAAGCATATAAAAACCATCACAAGGTCTCTGCTTTTATCAGCTGCCCCCTTCAGCCTCCAAGACAAAATCTCAATCTTTTGAGCATGTATTAGGCCTGGCATGATTGGCAGCCCTACCTCTAAACTCCAAGCTTGTTTCCTACCTGGAAGTCAAAGCAGCAACTCTAAGCTGAAAATTCCTCTGTAGAATTTGATAAACACAGTTGGGGAACAAAATAGCCCATGAATGGTAGAGGAGGTGGATTTCAAATGGACCTGCCATGACATCATTTTATTTCAAAACTCATATCCAAATATCCAAAAAATTGATGGAAAGCCAATTTTTAGAGTGATCTTACCTTAAGCATTCACTATAAACAACCCCCCCCCCTTAGTAGTCTTTGATAAATCTCTTCTTGCTGTATATAAGGCAGAAGCAGCAAGAATTCAAGACCATTTGCAGACACTAGGTTCTATCTCAGGGTGAAGCTTCAGAACCTGTTGCTCAAAAAGACCAGAGATTCGTTTTAGATCAGGATAGAGACATATCATGCAAAATCCCAGGACTTTCTTCACTGGGTTTTGGTGTCCATTTTTCCATTCCTTCTGACAGAGTTGTGGGTAGCAGAAAAAGAGGACCTCATAGAGCAAACTCCAAGTTCTTTGAAATGCCATTCTGAGTAGTTGAGAATCTTGGGTCCTTGCAGAGAGGTTTTGGACTGCACTGAGGACCCTAGATACCTCTTCTCCTACATGGACATGAGGTATGCTGCATTTAAACAGACAAATACCATAAACACCACATTTACACAGTGCATTCCTTTACTGTTGCTTTAAGACTCTGTGTGAGCATATTGCATTTTATTAATAGTGGTGCTGCATAGAGTATACGGACATACATGTAACTACTCACAAACCTTGGTTTGACAACTCTTCATCTTGGAGGGGCAGGGTTTTGCTACTTAGCCCAGGACCCTCCCTGCTCAGCCTTCTGAGGACTGTCACCTGTTTCCGATTGAGCCTTGTTAACATCCTCAAGGAACTGCTTGCTGGTGTAAATGCTTGAGTGGAGTTCATAAGACAATATCCTGTGGGGACCGATAACCAGGCAGATGAGATTAAGGCACTATGTAAAATGGCTCACTGGTTCATACAGTGTCCTTCCCTGTCCTGAGTGATTCTTTTCAATGGCCATCCTTTCTCTAGGATTGATATGTATGTAGAGGGCTTAAGGGACCTGAGCGACATGATCATGTTCTTTCCACTCTCTCTACCGGAAGAGAAGGACATGAACCTTGAATACATCCTCCAACGAGCCAAGACAAGATTCTTCCCTGTTTATGAGAAGGTGAGCAATGACCTTTGGCTGTTGTGTGGCTCACATCAAAGAGAGAGAACATCTAACGAAACTGAGAGCAGAACTTCTTTGGTAGATGGAAAATGGCAAACGCTCTGTGAAAGCTTCACCATCTTCCCTCACTTGGGTGAAACAAACCTGCTTGGCTTCCCTTCTCTGAGCTTTCCCCTTCCCTTCCTTATTTTCTCCATCCTTTCCTCTCTTTTTCTCTCTTTCTTTTCCTTCCTCTCCCTTCCTTCCTTCTTTTTTCTTTCCTTTCTTCACACCTTTTCCTTCCTATCTATCACACTTTCCTTTTCCTTCCTTCTTCCTTCCCTCCTTCCCTTTACTTTCTGTCCTCCCTTCCTTCTCCTTCTCTTGTGTCTGTACGTGTGTGTGCGTGTGTATTTGTGTGTGTGCACATGTGTCCATGTCTGTATGAGTGAGCAGATGAGCACACCTGTGAATGCACACAGACAAGGACATCAGGCATCCTCTTCTGTTACTTTCTACTTAGTCCTTTGAGGCAGGGGGTCATCCCTAAACCTAGATGCCTTCCTTTCACAGTCATGCTAGAAGCCAGCAAGCCTCAGTGATATTCTTCTCTATGCACGTCAAAGTGGAGTTAAAGGTGTCGGTGTACTGGGTTGTGCTGGTGCTGCTTGTATTCTAATGTTAATATTGGTTCCTCAAGACCAAGTTATCTGCATAAACCCAAGTGACATTGTGTGACCTTGCCCTTAAGTTATTTCTGACTGCTAAATAAAGATGTCATCAGTCAATAGCTGGGCAGAAGAGACATAGGTAGGATTTAGGATTCCTGAGCTTGGTGTTGGAGGACAACCACAAGGGGGAGAAGAAGGTGAGTGGAGGAGAAGCCACCATGGGTTAGGCGAATCATGAAAATGTGGCCCTGAGGGCTCGCCAACTGCAGTTAAGAGCAGCCCAGATGAAACATAGTAAGAAATGACATGAAATTATCCATAGGAAATTAGATTCTAATAAAATAGTAGGCAGATATCTGCCCAGCCTTTGTGCTGTTTAAAGTTTATGGAAAATAATAAACATTGTGTGTCTTTTATTCAGAAATCAAATGATCGAGGTGAGGTAGAAACCCTGGATTGAGATTAATAATTTCTACAACAGATCCCAACTCCAGTCTTCAAGGGGAAGCACTCTTAACTTTTGAGTCATCTTTCCAGCCCCTGCTGAACTCTCCTGGATTATGTTTTCTTTCTAAGGATTTTAAGTGTAACTCCAGTACTATTTGTGGTCCTGTGCAGTCAGTTACCTTATTTAAGTTTGAAGTCAAATAGTACCTTCTGAACAAGATCCCTAAGACATCCCATCATTGGATAGTAGGATGAACAGTAGTTCTCAAATGCTCCAGATAACACCAGAGCTTCAGGAAGCTTATAAGGTTAGCAGGGCTCCGTTAGTTTTGATGACTTAAAAAGTAATGCTGTGTATTGTTTCGAATTTTTCACATCTGAAAAATGATTCCTGGAAACCCTTTGTTGTAAACACACATTTAAAGATGGTACCCCTAACTACAGGGTTGGGTGGTTCTTTGGTGACATGTGATCTTTCTCCCAGGGGCATTAATTATCATTATCATAAGTACAGGTGTCAGGGGAGGATGATGAAATGTGGCTCATCCTTTGAATAAAAAGTCAGATGCATTTTCCAAACTTACCTGCAATACAGGATCTGTTATCTTTTCTGTGTTGTAGGACATCTTAGAATTGAAAGATTAGTACATACATTTACATGTATTAGTCATGAGCATGTATTTGTTACTGTGCGCTTGTCATGAATTGCAGGTACCCTACCTTCTTAATGTATACCTTTCTCTTAATTATATTTAGTAAGTTTTTAGTCTTTTTGGTTCAAAAGATATCAAGCTATGAATACTATATACTGCAGACTGTCTCCATACAAATTTCTCTTAAAGGTATTCATCTAGTTAGCGTATAATTTAAGGTATTTTATTGCCTAATTTTAAAAATAGTATCAATAGCATAGATGTTTAACACCAGTATTTTCCCACCCTCTTTGTGTGGTGTGTATGTGTGTGTGTGTGTGTGTATGAGTGTGTGAGAATGTGTGTGTGAGTGTGTGTATGAATGTGTGAGAGTGTGTGTGAGTGTGTGTGAGTGTGTGTGTGAGTGTGTGAGTGTGTGAGTGTGTTGTGAGAGTGTGTGTGAGTGTGTGTAAGTGTGAGTGTGAGTGTGTGTGAGTGTGTGTGAGTGTGTGTGAGTGTGTGTGTGTGTGTGCTTGTGGTTCTGATGGAGATAAAGCCCAGGGCTTCATTCAGGCAATGCTATATCCTAGAACACTGCTATTTCAGTTTTCCCCCTATACTACCATGAAGCACAGAGGCTTCTCTCATGGCTGAAAGAAGTAACAGCATCAATATAATATCTCTAACAACATCAATAACAATAAGAATCATCTCTACTGAGGGCAAAGTATAGGGCCATATGCACTTTGCAAACTCATGCATTCAATCAAATGGGTGCTGATACCATTCCACTTATAAATGAGAGATCATAACTTGGGAGAACCTGACCAATGGCCTATAACTGATGAGTAATAGTCAACACTTGCCTTCACAGCTTTACAAATATTGATCACACATCCAAGTCCGTAATAAAGAACAAAGTTTGGGGCTAGAATATAGAGAATTCTAGCCTATTCCATTTTTTTCATTTTTGCATTCAATAATTTTAAACCAACATGACACATAATTTACAGCTGTGTTAGAAAAAACTAATAGAAAAAATGGATGTGTGTCCCTCTGAGGACACTCTCCTTGTACACAGAGAACCTTCTAAAGATGGCACACCTAAGGTAATGGTCCACAGATGGGGTGAGGACAGAGTATCACTACAAGTCAAGAAGAGTCACCAGACTAGGATGCTGCAGAACTCACAGGGTAGGGGCAATGGTTTCCTGTGCTGACTGAATTTTAAACTAAGGAGAGAAAGCCCAAGACTCACAGGACAGGACTTATCCTGACCATAGCTGGAGGAAAAGAACAGATCAGCAACTTAGCTCTAACTTCTTAAAGATTTTCTTCTGAACAGCACGTTAATTTATATCCTGAGAGTGGCCCTCACCTTCTGCTTCCTCCATCCCAACCACCATGCAGGCCTTAAGAGACCACGGGCAAGCTTTTCTTGTGGGCAATCGGCTGAGCTGGGCTGATGTCCAGCTCCTTGAAGTCATCTTAATGGCTGAAGAATGTGAAGCCAGTGTTCTTTCCGGCTTCCCTCTGTTACAGGTAATGCTATCTGACAGCTCCTGGGGACTTCAGAGGGAATGAACGCATGTTATTTATTTATTCCTTCACTTGGTCGTACTTTATTATTTAAGAAGTCACTTTCATCTTTATGCCACAACCTGTGCTAGAATATATAAAGATGCCACCACTGAACACAGCTAGTCCAGAAAACAGGCACACAGGCAAGTACCTCCCATATAATGTGCTAAGGTTAAAAAAAAAAAAAAATCTAAGGGCTACCCGGACCATTCTCAGGAACAGGAGCGAAGCTTCTTGCTGGAATTGAATCTCCCTGGCTTTGCATGGGATGTGGCAGAAGCTTAATAAAGCTGTTTCCTGAACTGATGCTGCAGTGAGCACCTGAAGGTACAGCTTCCTAAGATGGCGCCACGGTGAGCACCTGTAGTTGCTGTTTCCTAAGCTGATCCCGTGGTGCATACCTACACTTGTAGCTCTGTAGATGCTGAGGCAGGAGGATCTTGGTTCAAAGAGAGACCAGGCTATGTAGCAGGATCCCTTTCTCTAGAACAGACAAAGAGGTGCTTTCTTCTCTGGGGGCAGGCACTTAAGACACCATCATGGGACATAGCGCTTACGTAACAACAACAGTGCCCACTGATGAAGCTTACCATATGCCTCCCATTGCACCAAGAACCACTCACTCACTCACTCATTCATTAATTCATCCTCAAAGTAAACAGACAGAACTGGGAAGTTAGGAAACTTCTCCATTGTGAGTTGGTGCAAGGACCGGGACTCGAACTTTAATCTGATTTACACAGCCGAACTCTCAAACTTTATCTTTGCAAAACTAAACTTAAAATATTTGAGACTTGCCGGGCTTTAGAGATGTCTCAATGGTTAAGAGCGTTGTGATCTTCCAGAGGTCCCAAGTTCAGTTCCCAGCAACCATGTGATGGCTCACAAACATCCCTGTAATGGGACCTGATGACTCTCCTGATGTGTCAGAATCAGCTACAGCGTACTCTCATAAAATAAATAAATATTTGAAAGAATATTTGAGACTTGTTACAGTTCTGAAGCCACATTTTTCCAGTTTATTTTAAAGTATAAATTTATTTAGAATTGCTATTTGATTTGCTACAGTTTTTTTTCAATGTTGCCTATTTTATATTTCTGGAAAAATTCCTTATCATATACAGGTGATTGAGCTTATTTTAAGTAGTGAAAGCCAGAAGCATTTTATACCTAAGAGATAGCTACACAAATGAGAAAGCTTTGACTGTATAAGTTTAAGCAGCCCCCTAAAGCTCTCCTTCACATAACAGCATGAAAAACACTAAGAGAATAAGCTTAAGAAATAAGCCTAAGCGGCCTAAGAAAATGAGAACTCACCTTACTGTGGCCCTCACTGTGATGCTCTGATGTTTGCTTTTATAGCTCGTACATCAACAGCATCAATGACCAGTATGGGCTTTTGCACATTTTGGATGTTAGAATGTAATTCTCAAAATGAGATAAATCGGCTATAGCTTATGGTTACAGTTAATTACGTTGTTGATAATATACAACCTATTACCAGTTGGCAATAATATACAATGTTAAGACCATTATCTTTCCTCTCTCTCACAGTGCAGAATTCAAATTTTATTATGTGCTTCTTTTAAAATGTGCACACTCACACACACACACATACATACACATATACTCACACACTCAAACATACATATTCACATATGCATAGAAACATGTTCACACACACACTCATACAACTCACACTCACACATACACACTAGTATAGGTCCTGGAAGTGATCAGGACAGGGGGTCACATCCCCCTGAGCAGGAGTTGCAGGTGATTTGTTAGTCACCTGGTGATGGTAACTGAACTCAGGTCCTCTGGAAGAATAGGAAGCTCTCTTAACCCTTAAGCCATATCTCCAGGGAACACAAATTTCTACATATTTTTCTCCTTTGTGTTTATTCATAACCTTTTACACTGTAGGACTTCAAGGTGAGAATCAGTCAAATCCCTACAATTAATAGATTCCTCCAACCTGGAAGCCAGAGGAAGCCTCCGTTGGATGAGCAATCCATTGGGACTGCAAAGGACATATTCAAATTTGAACGAGGCATGTTTCTTAAAAACATGAGCACCATAGTAGCTGAGTATTAACAGTTACAGAGGCTGAAGTTACCAGTAAATATATTGAGTAACTTCACACTGCGTTTATAAAAAATATACTAAGTATATTGGGTAACTTCATACTGCATTTATAAAAAAATATACTTAGTAAGTGTATTGGGTAACTTCATACTGCATTTCTATCAATGACCAGAGAAACATCCTGAAGTAAGTAATATGATATGTTAGCAATGTTAGAATGTTAGTAATGAAAATATTTTATGTGTAAAGAAATAAACTGCTAGAATCTTATCAATAAACTAGAAGAGCCAACTGCTGGTTGAAATAAGACTGAAAAGACTGAATCCAGAAAACCCAAGGAGTCCTTTGCCTTCTATATGGTCCTAGAATAAACTTGTGTGAAGTAAGTGAAAGTCAAGGAGTTTTTATTACATTGTGTGTGTGTGTGTGTGTGTGTGTGCATTTGTGTTGCTGTGGCACATGTGTGGAGGTCAGAGAACACCTCTCCTCATACCCCGTAGTTCTGGAGATTGACCTCAGGTCATCAGGTTTTAGAGCAAACAACCTCACCTACTGAACCATCTTGCTCACCATCAAAGGTTAAAAATAAAAACTCAACAACACACATACGATCACTCACTTTCACTGCCTTTTTGTGAAAGTTCAAGATGCAGCGTAACTTCTAAAAGTCTCCATCACTGGGGCATCTTAAAGATACAGCAAGTATTTCTACAATCAATCCCACAACTCACCTTGGTTTCAGTGTCAATCACAGTGTGAACAGAAGCCACTGTCAACCTGTCCTGTTGCCAAGGAAGCAAGCAGAACACCTGCCGTTTTCAGCATGGTTGGTTTCCAGAATGGCCTGGCATTGCTGGAATCACGGGGGATTTGTCTTTCCTTTTTAAACAGGGATCATTGAAAGCACACTAAAGAAGTTTGCATGGGTTTCTTATTTGGTTTAACTAATAGGTTTCCTTTCTCCCTCCCTGAATTCCTCATTGCTCAAAGGTTAACATCCTGCTTGCACTTTCAAGCAGAATAAGTACTCCTGACTACCAGGCCAGCAGATGGAACTCTCCTCCCCTTTCCATGTCAACAAAGGCCACACTGAAGAATGGAAATTGTGAGTCTAGTGCTCTGGAGGGCAAACTAGCCATTAATACCCCTCCCCCCAAATAGGGATGAGAAACTGAGTCCTCAAGAGACAGGTTTCCCAGAGACCATAGCTGACAGTAGAAAGTAAGCAGGGATCTCTAGATGGTCCACTGGTCCCTAAACTGCCTTGGACATTACAGGTTATAGCTGCTCTTCAAATGGAGTGGTGAACTTACTGGAGCTGAGACAGGAAGATGCTCCTGAGAAGTATGAAGATCTGGTACAAACAATCCTCCCTTGATATCATTTCTACTAATAATGACCATGCTAAAGCCAAAATGAATGAGTAATTGAGTTCCTAGAAAAGACACAGAAATGAATGAGAAGGCTTAGAATAAGATGCATTTTATTTGAACACCAAGTACATTCTGTCAGGACGCTAATGTGCTGAGAACAGAATTTCGTCTATGAAAACACACCTCACCTCCAACAATACAAACAAAAGCCCTAATGTACAAAGTGACATAGAACTCATTAACACTCCCTGCAGTCCACTCCAGGAATCCCATTGTCTGACAGGTTGCAGTTAACTTAAACTTATTTGAGTCATATGTATTTGGAATTGTCAAAAGTAAAAAATAATAAGCCCCTAATTTCCATGTAAAAAAAATGAGACAAAGTAAATGAGCATGTAGCAATTCATTAAAGAGCAGGATTAACAAATTGAAACGTGTAAAAATTGTGCTTTAAGTTTAAAAAAAGTTTTCAATATTATGGTTAAAAAAAGAACCTGCTCTGCCAGGCACAGGAGCATGATGGGAGTTTAGCTCTCGGCTTTTCTAGGTGCTAAAGCAGCAGCAGGACAAGTCTCAGGATCATCATGAGGCTGAGTCAAAAGGAGAGGAAGAAAGAGGGACAGTCACTCTGTTGGACAGGAACGCCATGCACTACCCTGTCATGTCCCTGTGCTGTGAGCTCTGAGGGCTCTGTCACAGCCCTCCTCAGAGGAAGGTGAGGGGGACTCATTTTTCTGTGTTCCAACTTTCCATATGCAACTTGAAAATATTCCTTGAACAGATGAGAGAAAGCAAACCTGCTGTTCTGAAAGGCTCAGATGAGGGCTTAAGGGAGAAAGGTCAGGGAGAAATGTAAACTTCCCAAAGCTACTGAAGAAGAGCAACATAGGAGAACTAGTGAAGGGTGCTGGAGAGCTGGCTCAGCAGTTCAGAGCACTTGCTGCTCTTCCAGAGGCCGGAGTTCTGTTCCTGTGTCCATGGCAGGTGTTTATAACGATGGATGATATGTAACTCCAGCCCCGATCGGCATCATTCCTCCCTACTTCTGATCCTTCTCAGCATAAAGATCATCTTAGGTCAGGGGCATAGCTGCAAAGTTGTCCTTGGCACCACTCCACACAAATATCACACTAGATAAGTACAGAGCCACGCTAGAAAATTCTACAACAACAAAAGACTATAAAACTATTGAGGTAGCTACACACCAGGGAAAAATACTACTAATACTTGAAGTATTTTCATTTTGTCTTAGGATTTTTTTTTTTTTTGCCTCAGATATCTTTGAACATTGAGTTAAGCTATATCTGGTGTGTTTTGGTCCTGATTTCTATTTTATTACGACATTATTGATTTCCATGCCTTTTAAAGCATGATACACAAATGCCTGCTCAATATTCCATTAAGTAGATAAAATGTTTACATTTCTCTTCTGGTGAATTTCTAGGCAGTTTTAGTATTTCGGCTTATTATGTTTTCTATTATCAGAAAATTACATTTTCTATTAGAAATATAGACACAGTGAACATTAGGCTTTGTGTACTTCCTTTTCTGGGATAATTTCTAGAAAACGAAAATGTGTACCAAAGGGAGGTGATGTTTGTTGCTTTCAACACACAAGGGCAGCTTCCAGAAGGGAATAGAAATATTTTCTAATTCATGTGATAGTATGTATTTAACTTGTAATTGGATAGAGTCCCAGGAGCTGGGCTGGGGACGTAGCCCAGTGGCTGAGTGTTTGTCTGGCATGAGCAAGGCCCTGACTTCAGACCTCAGCACTGAAACTGTAACAGGTAACTAATAACTAGCTTTGGGAATGAGAAGTGTTCCCCATGAACTCGTTTGTTTGAACACTTGGTCCCCAGCTAGTGGCACTATTTGGGAAAGTTATGGAACCTGTAGGAAGAGGAGCCTAGCTAGAGAAGTATGCCACAGAAGGGCAGGCTTAATTACTTTTTAAAAATATTTTTTATTGGATATTTTATTTACATTTCAGATGTTATCCCCTCTCCCCATTTATTCCTCACCCAGGAACCCCTTATTCCATCTCCCCTCCTCCTGATCCTATGAGGATGTGTCCCTACCTACCCACTCACCCACTCCCACCTCCCTGACCTCGAATTCCCCCACACTGGGACATCTAGCCTTCACGGGACCAAAGATCTCCTCTCCCACCTATGCCTGACAAGGCCATCCTCCCCTACATATACAGCTGGAGCCATGGGTCCCTCCCTATGTGCTCCTAGGCTGGTGGTGCAGACTCTGGGAGCTCTGGTTGGTTGGTATTGTTGTTCTCCCCATGGGGCAGAAAACCCTTTCAGCTCCTTCAGTCTTCTCTCTAACTTCTCCATTGGCAACCCCATGATCAGATCAATGGTTAACTGTGGGCATCCACCTCTGTATATGGTCAGGGTCGGCAGACCTCTAAGGAGACAGCTTGATCAGGCTCCTGTCAGCATGCACTTCCTGGTATCCACATCAGTGTCTACCTTTGGTGACTGCACATGGGATGGATACCCAGGTGGAACAGTCTCCAGACAACCTCTCCTTCAGTTTCTGTTCCACACTTTGTCTCCATATTTGCTCTCATGAGTATTTTGTTACTCCTTCTGAGAAGGATCAAAGCACCCACACTTGGTCTTCCTTCTTCATGAGATTCATGTGGTCTGTGAGTTGTATCTTGAGTATTGCAAGCTTTTGGGCTAATATCCAATAATCAGTGAGTGAATACCATGTGTGTTCTTTTGTGATTGGATTACCTCCCTCAGAATATTTTCTGGTTCCATCCATTTACCTAAGAATTTCATGAATTCATTGTTTTTAATAGCTGAGTAATACTCCATTGTATAAATGTACCACTTTTCTGTATCCATTCCTCTGTTGAAGGACATCTGGTTCTTTCCAGCTTCTGGCTATTATAAATATGGCTGCTATGAACATAGTGGAGCATGTGTCCTTGTTATATGTTGGAGCATCTTCTGGGTGTATGCCCAGGAGTGGTATAGCTGGGTCCTCAGGTAACGCTATGTCCAATTTTCTGAGGCACTGGCAGACTGATTCCAGAGTGGCTGTACCAGCTTGCAATTCCACCAACAACAGAAGAGTGTTCCTCTTTCTCCACATCCAGCATCTGCTGTCACCTGAGTTTTTGATCTTAGCCATTCTGACTGGTGTGAGGTGAAATCTCAGGGTTGTTTTGATTTGCATTTCCCTAATGACTAACGATGTTGAACATTTCTTTAGGTGGTTTAGACACTTGGAGACCCTCAGACTTTAAAGCCATCACCAAAGTCTTACTCTGTGCCCCTGCCACTACCCTCTCTGGTCTGGGAGGCACCTGGCAAACCCCCATTCCTCTCTTTGGTAATGAGAGTCTTTAGTCTGCACTGAGACATATTGGAACTTCATTGTCTTATATCACTGGGGCTCAAAGATAAGAGATTGAACTGGATCTTAGAAGCCACTTCAGAAGAAGAATCCTGAAATATGTCTCCTGTGACAAGTATAGCACAGAGTCTCAAGCTTCCTGCACTAGAGTTGCTGGGGACATGAGCACTGAGCCCTGCCTCCAGGTTTCCAGAGTTACTGGCTTTGGAGTAGGGCCTGAGAGTTTGTTCTTCTAATACTCTCTCAAGTGGT